GCTTCAGATACTTCCAAATGTTCATTCCAGTGGTACCGTGCAGCATCTGAGTCTAGCCGAAGAGAAGCTATATCTGGTATTTACCATTCTCTCTTTTCCCTTCCATTATACATAAAAGATTCATTCACATATTGAGCAGTTTTGTATTTTACATCTCAGGTGCCAACCAATCAGTATATGCTCCAGAACCATATGATGTGGGACGAGTAATACAAGCAGATATTCTTTGTAACGGTCACAAGTTCACTGTTACAACAGACGGTCCAATTAATACTGGTTAGTGTTACAAGAATTAACTTTATAATTTTAAGTACCTTACAAAATGACTAATTTGATCATGATTTCTACAGCTTCTGGCTTGCAATCACGTGTGGAATCTCTCCTGCGAAAATCAAACAGTGAATTCACTGTAATGGTTACAAGTTTCTTTTACTTCATAGAAGCATTAAACAGTATTTGAGTTCTTGCTCTAATCTGAGTTGACATTTTTTTCTAACTTCTTTTCAGGTGGTTATATCACAAATGAATGGGCAAGATCATGTATCACGATCCCATGTATTTACTGTAGGAAAGGCGAGGGTAAAGCTATCTAGAGGATGGATCACAAAGGCTAGAGAAATATATTCAAACTCTATGCAGGTAATCTAGAGCTCTTTTTTTTTTTGGTTTTGTTGGAGTTTCTTTTCTTATAAGTTTAAATGGTTTGGTAACGTTTGTGACAGTTATGTGGAGTGAGAGGCAATGCTAATGCTCCTGCAAAAGCATTGTTCTGGCAACCAAGAAAGGGTTTAAGTTTCTTACTAACTTTTGAGTCAGAACAAGAACGTAATGCAGCTATTGTTCTCTCCCGGAAATACGCATACGATTGCAATGTGAGTAACACTAACCTGAAAATAAAATTCCAATAAATATGATTCTATTTTCTCTTGTTAAAAGTTATGTTGTGAGCAAACCATTTTTGAATCCTGTAGGTTACTCTGGTTGGGCCAGACGATTGAGCTAATAATGAAAGGAATAACAATTCTTTCTATCAAGTCTCCTGAAAGCTTTTTTTTCTAGGCTTGGCGATTTGGACTGTTATGTGTTTGTATTTGGTTAAGGTGGCAACTTTAGCTTGGGTTTCTCTACTGCAGCATAGTTTGTGTGTTACTGCATAGTTTTAGGCAGGAATCACATTTTGTGTGTTTTGGCATGATCACAAGTGTGTGGTGGTTGGCATTTTCTTATTTGATTCGATTGGTTTGTTTGTGTTTTTGAGTGTTTTAGAGTTTTGTAGTGTGAAGGTTTTTTTGTATGTAATCACAGAACAGAGTTTCGTTCATTCATGATCAATGTAATAAAAATGAAAAAACAAATTGTAAAATTTATGTACTAACTGGTCATATTTATAAATATATTTACTTTAAATGTGTGCTGGCCATAATTTACAATATAAAAATTAATATATTACACCAACATATTATAATGCAAGATAATTTCAAAGAGAAATCAAGAAGAGTTTTTGAAAATCTTCGGAAAAATATATTGTTAGGAGAGAGCAATACTCTCCTATTATTATATAGATTATTTAAAAATGATCTTATAATTTAAGATAAATTTAAATATTAAAATTATTAAAGAATGATATTAAATATTGTAATTGTCAAAAAATTAGGTAGATATTTTATTGATGGAAATTAAAAATTTTAAATAAAATTCTTAGATTATATAATAATAATAATAATAATAATAAAACTTGTATTATAATGATAAAAACTCCATGATTCACCATGCATTTATGTTTTAAGTTTCTTTGGTTTTTCCAAACAATTGTCTCCTCGAGTGTTCGAATCCACCAAATCAATGAGTAAAATAGATCTCAACTTACTTATGTATTTGACTTAATGTTATTATAGAATATATTTTTTCACCATATTGAATATTATACGTATACATTAGAAATCCATCTTTATTTTAGAGTTTATCTATTTTATATGTACATAAAAAGTATAGAAGATAATCTTACTTCTTTTGTATCCGCAAGACTTCGTTCATTGGTCCAATGAAAAGGGAAATGTTATTGAGTTGCATTATATCAATATATTAATTCTACACTAAAGCTTTATATAGAACTTTCGAGCAATTGGAGTGATTGCTTTCGATTGCATTTTGTGAGAAAATGGCTCTTTAAAAATTTATACCTAAAATGGAAAAATCACATTGGAGAGAAACAATCCATATTTAGAAACAAAAGGATTTGGTAAAGGAGGTTGAGAACCCAATACAGTCACTTTGGTCAATGCGCACCAATAGTAAAAGAAAGATTAAAATAACACCTCAGCTTCCGAGAGAGGAGACATGGACCAATTATCACTTGATTCTGTTTGAGTTTAAATTGAAAAGTAATCTCGTAACCTTTGAAGTATTAAAAAGGCAAGTTGTGGACGAACCTCGAGTACCATTTTTCTTGTATTTCATGCACTAGTTTTTCATGCGGTCGAGACTTTCCGGCACCGTTACATACATGAATATGAAGAACATCATATCGAAAAGGACATATGTAATTTTATATTCAAATGTATTTACGAACACTTAAATTTTACCTTTTTTTTGAAAAAGTACTACACTTCTCCATATCTCAATGGAGGTTTATACTATGAGATATACATTCACAGATTCTCGATATACATGAAGCGTACAACGTGATGAGTTTCGGGAAATTAAAATGTATATTTTTGGGTTACACGAAAAAAGATGAAACATTTTGTCCGCAACCACCGGCCAGACTCAACTAAAATGATTTATAAACCCTAATTCATATATATATTGTTATATATTCCATTCCTTCGACCAAATGACGCTATGTTGATGCCTTTTCTCTTAAAGATATTGGTTAGTTGGATATCACATGAGGCTGAATTATCCATATACAGCCAGTGGCTGCGTTTCCATATTTGTATTATTGCAGACAATACATGATCCACCCCAATACCTTTGAAGGCAATAATTATTAAATAACAACTCGCGATCTTGCACGAGGTCTATATACTATTTCTATGCGAATTTTGATGATTTACACCCAAACGACATCAAATCTATATTCTATTATAAACTATAAATATTCATGATACTGACTTACTAATTATATATATTTGTTTAATTTTTTCATAAACGCTCTATAAAAAACTAGTTCAGAATAGTTTGCCCAAAAAAAAAAAAAACTAGTTCAGAATATGCTTTCTTTAAGATTTAGATTTAATCCGACTAGTTATGTGAGGTTGTGAGCCAATTATAAACCAAAAATGTCGTAATTAAGCCAATTCAAAACAACTACCACATGTATATTAACAACAACTTTATTGACAGGAGTGGCTGGCTTGACCCTTAGGCTTTCTGTTCACACAACATATTTATCTAAACTAAAGTTCTACTCCTTTTTTTTTCTTTGGTTCACACCAAAGTTCTACTCTAATTACTAATTAGTCAAAGTTGCTAATTAACTGGTCAAGAACATAGTGTTATTTACTTTGTACTATAGTACTCTGGTTTGACTTTAGCTGGGAATCTTCGACATGCAATATTGTCTCAACAGATGTACGAAGCTGAGAAATACACAATTTCTACAATGTATAAAATAAAATAAAAAGGTTAAATCAATTTAATGTAAAATTTAGATGTGTTCAAAAAAAAATTGTAAAATTTAGTATCTTCTCGTCTGAATGTAAATATATTGGTTGTTTAACAAAAGTACAACGTGAAGTCTTCTAAAAAAGGACGATGTGAAGCTGTGAACCATTCATGCTCCATCACCAGTCATTGGGAACATAAAAATTACAAGTACAAAGGTTACTTAATTTACAAAACACAAATAAGGCAAGAACACAACCTCTCTCCCCACACGTACTGGTACATATATAAGAAAGAAAGAAAAGAAAACAACACCTTGGAATTTATCAGAAGAAAGCTTATTTGTAAATATGACTATACCTTTGAATGTACAACACTAGCTAGTGAGTAGTTGCTAGATAGTCTGACATCAAACTCTAAATCATATGGTTATATTCTTTGACTAATCGGGTTCATTAGAGAGAGAGGTTAAAAATGCAAATCCGGCCGTATTCAAATCAAAGTCAGTTATGCACTTGTGATCAACATGCCTAAAATTTATGTTCTGATATATTAACAGATAATGAGAAAACTGAAATATGAAGAGAAAGAAGGAGCTCCCTTCAGTCCAACCACAGATAAAGAGAGACGAAAAACATCTCCTGCATCATTCACACAGTCACTGTGGTTTAAATCTCTTGGTTTTTACCACGAGTGTTTGGATGAATGAGTCAGCAGATATTTCTACCCTCTGGTTCTACCCACGATTGGACTGAAAGAATCTCCTGCTATATCTACCTATTTTAATCTCCACTACACTTCTGAAACACTGAAAGGCCACTTTTAATTGATATAAACAAAACAATTTTGGGTTCAGTTAATTCTACAGAATAGTATCAAACACACATGGACTTATTTNTGGATGAATGAGTCAGCAGATATTTCTACCCTCTGGTTCTACCCACGATTGGACTGAAAGAATCTCCTGCTATATCTACCTATTTTAATCTCCACTACACTTCTGAAACACTGAAAGGCCACTTTTAATTGATATAAACAAAACAATTTTGGGTTCAGTTAATTCTACAGAATAGTATCAAACACACATGGACTTATTTTTGCTAGTAATGGGCCATTGAAAAGAATACAAATGTGACCAAGACAGCTTCCAATGTACTTAACATTGAACATTTAGTTTTGAAATAGTATTTTCATGTACTTATAATTAAATGCACCAGTAGTGAATTAGAATGTCAGCCAATGTATGTTGTATATACATATTGATGTATTATGCATGTATGGATTAACTTACAAGGGTAGGATTCTGATTGTTATGTGTGAAAACTTCACAGGAAGAAGCAAGCTTTACTGTGCAAGAAAGACCACTGATGGGTCTTGTCAAGAAGAGGATGCCAAGAGAGAGGGACAAAGGACGAACTGTTCATCAAACATTGAAATCATAATAACACTATTAATATTAATGTTCTTTTAAAAATGATATTCGTTTATTAGTGATGTAAGCCCTTAACATATGAAGTTATGAACAGTCCCCATATTAATAACATCATTAATATATAATAACTACTTGAAAGTAAATATATACATAAGCAGACGACAGGTGATCCAAAACATGTGCGGAAAGATGCCACAATAGTCATTACAGATCATGATGAAATAAAATAAGAAAATATATAGAAAGACTAGCTAGCTAAACAAATATAAGTTTGTTTGACCACTTGGTAAATAAAATTATCTTTAAGATCATCAGTTATGGAAGGTGAAAGAGACTGGATTCCAAAATCAAGGTGTACAATTTCTCAGTTAGGGGTTAAACAAGAGAAATACGGAATTAATATAAAAAAGTTTCTTCATGATTTAGACAAGGGGGAAAACCCTAAAACCAGAAATGAAAAAAGTCTAAATTTTGTTTAGCTTTCTTGTGTGCTGAATAAAGAGATATTAGATCTAAAGTAAGTCACATGTGGTAATAGAAGATCATAAGACGAGGTAAAGAAAAACCTAAAACTTGAAAATTTGAAAGAACAAAAAAAAAAAGATTAGATCTCAAGCAAGTCAACACTAATGTAGATGTGATGATGAGAAAACTCTTACAATGGATCTTGAAGTTTCACCAGCTCTGATTTCATTGGACCTGTGTGAAAACCCTAGCTAGCTCTCTTTCTGAAACTTCTCCCAACCGAGTAGTGCTGAAACCATAAGTGACGAACAGTAACTTATAGAAAAAAGAAGAAGTAGGTGAATGTAGCCACTAGCAACTAGCTAGGTTTTAGCAAGTGGTGGCTCAAAAAAGGGACAAACAAAAAGAGATGGTGATGACAATGATGAATGATGATGATGATGGTGGTGATGTTCGGTCATTGTCTTCATGGGAGTCAGGGAAAGCTAATCTCAC